TGTTAGCTGCCATGTGGGTGCTTGAACTTGAACCTGGGTCTTGAACAGCCCGTGCTCTTGACTGCTGAATCATCTCTGCAGCCCCACTTAGATTCTATTGTAAATGAAATTATTTTGTTAATTTCGTTTTTGAATTGTTTATTGCTAGCATATAGAAAGACATTTGGGTTTACAGGTTGTTCTTACTCTTTGAGCTCGCTGGACTGTGATTTATTAGTCCTTGCAGCCTTTTAGGGATGTGTGCTTATGTATGTTGATTCCTAGGGTTTTCTGTGTGTGTCATTTTCTTCATTTCTCCTTTTTGATTTTCCTTATTGCTCTGGCAGGTTCTTCAGTACATAGTTGAAAATAAGTAGTGTGTCCTAGTTTGGTTTCTGTTGCTTTGATAAAACAGTGATGGAAACCAACTTGGGAAAGAAAGGTTTGTTTCAGCTTACAGTTTACAGTCCATCATGAGGGAAGCCAGGGCAGGAGCTCAAGCAGAGCCCATGGAGGAACAGTGCTTACTGACTTGCTCCCCTGGCTTGTTCAGCTACCTTTCTTATACAGCCCAGGGCCACCTGCCCGGGGATGGCACTGCCCGTAGGGGCTGGGCCCTCCCACATCAGTTAACATTCAAGCAAATGCCTCATAAGACATGACCACAGGCCAATCCAAAGGAGCAGATGCCTCAGTTTGGGTTCCCTCTTTCCACATGACTGTAGTTTGGGTCAAGTTGACAAACACTACCCAGCACAGTGGGCATTCTTGTTGTATCCTGGCATATTTTTAGTCTTTAAAGAAATTTGAAATTTAAAGTCTTAGCTAAATCTTAGATTTGAGCTTACTCAGAGGGTATTTTCAGTTCCTTTGATTTGATTTCTTGAACATTTCTGTATTTCTCATAGTATTTTGTTGCAATTGGACATGTTGCGTAATATTTTGTAGTAACTTTGAATTCTGATTTTTGCCCTTTGTTGCTGCCTTTACCCCCAATGCTGGGCCTTGAGCACGAGGCAAGCAAGCAGTCTACCACTGAGTTAATATCCCTACCACTGTTGTGTTTTAAAGTAGCTTGCCTATACTTGGTTTATGATTCCTTACTGTGTGGGAGTCTTAATTCTTCTCCTTAGGTTTTGATACTATTTTTAAATTTTAAAGTAATTTTTAAGTCTGGCTTGCTGCAGTTGCATCAGTGTCTTGTCTGCTAGCTTAGGAGTCAGTTAATGATTGATTAAAGATTGTGTCTCTACCCTCTGTCTAAAGATCTTTGTGTGTATTAGGAACACCTTCAAAGCCAGACTTTTTCAGAGTATGCTTAGCTTTTCCTTTCTCTCAGAGCTTCTCATGACTTTTCGGCTTCTTCGTGCAGGCTTGGCGTCAGCCAGAGATGTTTGGGAAGTTTTGACCCTCTCTAATATCTTCATCCTGAATGTATAGAACACTTTAAGGTTCACGAGAGATTCACTTCCAGATTTTCCTTTTAAATTTTTATCTAGACTCCTGGCTCACTGCTTATGCCAACTATGACAGCAACCTTAGGTGAACTGAGCCCTTGGTTGCTATCAAGAACACAAATTTTTACACGTAACTAGGATGGAAGTAGACTCACAGGTGTGATCAGTATTCTGACATTGCCATATGATGCTGTTATTTACAGAGTTCATGGCTCCAGAACTGTGTAATCAAGCTCCAGTAAATAAATAAATAATCACATGCACAAATCAGATTGGAGGAGTAAAGGGAGAATGGGAACAGTGAAACAGGATCACTCTGTGTAGCCCAGGCAGACCTGAACTTTCTGTATTTCTCCAGCTGGTTTTGAATTTGTAATCTTCTTGCCTCAGCCTTCTGAGTGCTAGGATTATAGGGATGAGCTGCCATACCTACTTAGTTAAACTTTACAATCTGCTTTAATTTTCTTGTTTGCTTTTTTTTCCCCTTTTCTTTATTTTTAACTTTTTTGTTAGTTTTTATTTTGTGTATGAGTGTTAGGCTTAGTGCAGTGCCCTCGGAGGTCAGAAGAAGGTGTCAGATCCCCTGGAGCTGGAGTTATGGATGGTTATTAGCTGCCACATGGGTGCTGGGAATTGAACTCAGGTCCTCTGCAAGAGCAGCCAGTGCTCTTGACTGCTGAGCCATCTCTCTACCTGCAAATTCTGCAATTCTTAACATGCTCTCTTTACCCAGAAATCTTGGATGTATATCCTTAAAATGCATAGTAGTAGCTGACAGATGGCCTATACCTGTCATCCTGGCCCTTGGGAGGTAGATCAGGAACTTCACATCATCCTCAGCTACATGGTGAATTTGAGGCTGTGTGGGCTGCATGAGACCCTGCCTCAAAAAAACAGAAAATCAAGTTAAATGTTTAGTAGTATGGAAAAATAGTATGTTTCTTTCCAACTTGGTCCTGCATTATTAGGCAATCACTTTCTCTGCCCCCCCCCATTCTGATAACAGTTCACTCACTGTTCTATGTTCTGATTCTTTTTGCACTCTCCCTTGTAGCTTTTCTTGAGCTAGGAAATCTGAGAGGCTGAATTCTTGAGGTAAGACCTTTAAATTGAACAGAAAGTTCAGCTTGTAGGAAAGATATTAGAGTGATAAAAGGTAGTATTTTAGCTTGTGAAACAGAGCCAGAGATGGAATAGTTGAGTTATATACAAAAGAAGACTGAGGAGCTGTTGTCTCCAGAGCTTGGGAGTTAATGCCCATCTTGTCCCCACTTGCCTACTCCCTCTTTCTTTCTACATGACACATACGTCTGTGTCCTTCAACAAGGACTTCCTGGTAAGTAGAGTGGCCACAACCATTCCAAGACCACTGTAGCATCCATTGAACTGGTAAAGCTGCTACTGGCAGGTGCATGCCAGCAAGTAAAGCCCAACAGATACGTATATGATGGCATCATGGACTGCATGGTTCATATCCCCAAGTTGTAGGGATAACTGTCCTTCTGGAGTGGTAACTTGGCCAGCGTCATCAGATACTCCTCACCTAGACTTTCAACTTTAAAGATAAATGCAGCAGATGTCCCTGGATGGTGTGTACAAGAGGACCCAGTTTGGCATTACATTGTAGGGAACATGGCATCAGGTGGTGCCACTGTGCCACATCCTTGTTTTATGTACCCTCCTGATTTGCCCATACTTAGCAGCTAATGTGGGAAAAACTAAAAGGAAATTCAAAAGCCTCAGCGATTACCTGGTAAGAACTACAAATCTGATGGGTTTAGGGCCTGTACCAAAACTTTAATGTATCTGTGCAGTGAATTATCTACCATGCTGTCTACTTTGATATCTGTGACACTGCAAAGGAACGCTTCCAGGTCCAAAGGAGAATCATATCTTCATCAGCTGGACAATTGCACACTCTGTCACTGATGTTGCTACCTTGACTTCCTATCTCTGACACTGTTTACCGCCTCACGATGGTGCTGACGGAATGCAAAGGAACTGATCGCACGTATGCAGGCATGTTTGATTGGCAGAGGAACATTGCTTATGACAAAGGATGCAGAGATTTTTTTTTGTCATGTCCAGTGTTCTTACAGGCATGGGTAGTACATAGGTATTTGTCTTACATGATGCAGTCAAGGAGTTCACATAAGTTACTTCCTAGGTTTTCTCCTTGTGAACTGTCAGGTTGTTATTATACAGTAGATTTTGAGCATTCTTGTCAAACCGTGGGCTCTCTGATTAACAATGGTAACTTTTTACTGATTAAAAATGGGAAACAATAATACTCATCTGACCAGTTTTCTTTCAAAGCTACTTCCATGGTAACAGTAATAATGGGACTCAATTATATGT